GGTCTGGTCAGCAACTATATACAGTAAAACTAACACTTCCCTATAATATTGGCATTTTACAATGAACATACTTAAAATTTCTTTAGATCATGTATTTCTGAAATATGCTTCTGCACTTCACAGAATTTCACTTCCAAAGCCTATTAAGGTTTGAAAGAAAACCAACCTAATTCTATTTCCAAGGTTTCAAAATAATATTTTTAAAATGTTAAGCCAAAAATGGACATTAAGACTAATTTTAGCCAGGCACAGAAGCGCATGCCTGTTATCCCAGCACTCGACAGGCTAAGGCAGGAGGATCGCCACAAGTTCAAGACCGCCTGAACTACATAGTGAGACTCTGTCTTAAACCAAAAAACCAAAAAACATCCCTCTAATTTTGGCTTGATTCTGTAAGATTTTCTTTTTTCAATAAATCAACAAGAATCATAAAATATGGTACTCAGCCATCAAATGAGTGAAATTAAATGGGTCCAGTATAACTAGTATAAAATTTTAAATCCTTTTTTCATGTAGTAACTATCTATAAAATCAAATGCTGACTGATAAAATGAGATAAAGCTCCCAGTGAAATGGCAAGTATATGACTGATGCTCAATAAACATAATTACTTCCCCTCAGAGTTCATATCCTTAAGGACAATGTGTCAAAGAGACTAAGAGGCAGTACCTGTAATTCTAGCTATTAACAAGGCTGAGGCAGGAGGATCTTGAGTTTGAGGCTAGTCTGGGGCAACTTGGCAAGACCACCTCTTATTCCCACTTCCCATCTCAAAACAACAACAACAACAACAACAAAACAAAGGCTGCTAATAAAATGCTCTAGTACAGCTACTGTGCTATACTTTGGATACAGGTGTGGTGACACATCCCTGTAATCTCAGCTACATAGGAAACTGAGGCAGGAGGATCATAAGTTCAAGGCCAGCCTGAGCAATTCAGCAATACTCTGTCTTAAAACCTTAAAAAATAAAGTTAAAAGGGCTGGGGGTATAGCTCCCTAGGTTTAATCCCTAATACCTTGAAAAAATTATTTTTGAAAAGGGGGACATTAAAAAATATTTTAGGTGTAATTTTAAAATACTAGGAAGCTCAATTAAATCAATTACAGTAAAGAGGACAGAAGGGGAAAAAGAATAAAATTTTTAAAATAAAATTTGAAAATAAAAGACTACAAATGGAGACACCTACTTGTAATATTTGATTGAAGTCAATAGCCATTTTAAAAACTTAAGGGCTGGGGACTTAGCTCAGTGGTGCTGTGTCTGCCGTGCAAGCGGAAGGTTGTAAGTTTGATCCCCGGTACCAAAAAAAAAAAAAA